ATTGGCCTACAATTTTTGCCCTGGGTGGTTACTCCAAATGAACATATTAACAGCATTCAACTGTGTAAATTGTTCCTTATTCTTGTATAAAAAATAGAATCTGTTCTCAATAATTACTTATTGACAGCTTTTTTTATGTTAATAACTATAACTTTAATAGAATGACATTCTCACTGGCAGAAATCGCTAGTAAGGTTTTCTTAATCAACTTTATTAGAGCCTTTTTAAAATTAGGTGCTGAAAGTATTTCCAGTTTTCATGAGAAATCTGCAGCAAGTCAAATAAGTGTCAAAAGTTAATTTTGCATTCTCATCCAGGAGCTGGATTAATTTCATCGCACTTTTTATTTGCCCCAAAATGTTCTTTTGAATGGGAATAAGCTAATTTGGAACAAATAGCTAAATATCATTCATTTCTAGATGTTATTGCAATGCACAAATTCAGATAATGGTTCATTTAAAAGACAAACAGCTGTTGTTTTTGCACAGTCATCTTTTTTCCTGCCAAATAGTGATTTAAATGCTTCTGATTACATCTCATCAGCCACTTGTCATTGCCATTCTTTATCACTCACCCATTTTTTTAAGCTAAAGAAATTCAGTTATAAACTTGTTCTATAACCTTATTCTAATTATTTGCCTTTGAAAACAAAGGTTACAATCCCATGAGCTCACCTCCTCTATATCACACTAAAGGTTTTTGGAAGCCAGTTCATGGGCCCTTCAAATATCTTTCAGCAGAGAAAAAACATTTTTATCTCCTGTCATTTTGAGGTGTTCAGGTTAGTACAAAAATGACAGGCAAAATCCATTTTAACTTGAAAGTTTTCTTTGACTATTTTAGTCGAGGAAAACATTCATTTTCAAAACAGCTATTTCAGAAGGAAATTTGCAATCCTCTCTTGATCTAATCTATTTGCCACTGCGTCTAGAGGTACTGTAGCAATTTGAAAAGTTATGGGGTGAAAAAGTCTTAGGATGTGATAAATTCACGATGGTCTCTAAGGCTTTTGTAAGTAAAATAGCTTTGCATGATAGTAAGTACAGGGTGGATTCTTTGGTACCAAGATAGTTGTAATCTTTTAAACTTGTAATCTTCTCACTTTTAAAAGAAAACATTGAATTTCATCAACTTCTGAGCTTTCAAACTGAGAAGCAATTCAAAGCGAAGAAAAACATTAGGTTGCTTAGCTGATGGTATTTGAGAATCATTTTGGACTCCTGACAGCGTGTCTTCATCTGGTTGTAATTTTGCAAAATACAGCAATATTTACTTGACATTATGGTATGCCCTTACTTGAACCCACAGTAATACATCTGAGACTCATGTGACGAGCAGGTACCAAGCAGCGAGTCATGATTAGCTTAATTGCACTGTCTAATCAGCCCAGTCTTGTTTTCATTACTGCATAATATTCACTTGTTTTATGACAGCTACATGTGACTGCATGAACGAGTTGTTCTTCCCGTGCATCTCTCTTTCTTGGCTTCTCAAAAACTACTTGTGAGCCATTGCCTGCTCCCAAGAGCTCATGAGGCTTTGTTGCTTCTCGAGGGGTTTTTTTTGTGTTTGTTTGCTTTGTTGAGGGTTGGTTGTTTGTTTCTGGTGTTTTTAAGAGAATGCACATAAGTAGTGAGTTTCATCAATCAGTTTATCTTGATGGAAAGCTGTGCTCTACTGGGAGCGTCTTGTTCTTCGGCTTTCCCTGATGTGTTCTCTTGAGTGCTCCTTACGAGAGCTTAAAGGGCTGACATGTCCTTTCCACATTATTTCTGCATCCCTAGAGAAGTCAGGCTTACCTTGCACTAGACATCAAGCCAATTTCAGTTATTCCTTTAAGAAAGGAAGACTTGGGCAGTGTTAAATTAGTCTCACGTTTTAAATAACAATAGGAAAAGAGTTTTCTGCATTCTCCAAGACAAAGATTACAGACACTGTAGAAAGAAGTGCCTTGAAGCAGCAAGTCTGGACAAGCTTTTAAGGCGTACAGCATGAATTCTTGTTCTCTTATTGAAAGTTTGAGAGCAATTGAGTTTGTGATCTTCCCCCCCCCCCATCAAGTGCCCAATAGTCAGGAACAGATCCTGATTTGCAGAATCATGAACACGTGCTGGATGTGTATAAAATACCCATATAAAACAAAAACATATAAAAGAGGCTTGTCTTTGAATATTGACACATGTATGCAGCAGTGGCCTAACATATGGGTTAAGGAAAGGAGAACAAAATAATCTGTTCCTTTTTTAGATTTAGCACCAATGTGAGATGGTTAGTGACACTATTAAATAACCATTCAGCAGTAATTTTGGAGTTACTTATCAGGAAATTTAGGTGCTGGAAAGGGCAGCACAAATGAAACATGAGATATGAGAAGAGTGGTTCAGTTTTTTCATATTGGAAGAACAGTAACAGGTAGGAACGTTGACACCTTTGATACTGCGTGACATGACATGACATGATAGGTCATTTTCTTGACATGATGAACTCCAGAGTCAGAACAGTCTGCATTCACAAAACAGGAAGTGCAGATTTTTTTTGTTTGTTTGTTTCTGTTGATGCAGCTCTTTTTTCTTTTGCTCCTACATAGGAAACACTATTTTATGTTCCTTAATCCTGTAGAGAAACATTTGAATATTGTCTAGCATTTTACAGTGGGTTTTACTTTCTTATCTCCTCCCTTCCTTTGTCAACTTGAACAAATAATTCCCAAGAGGTTTCCCACTCATAAATCCCCTATGATCTGTATGGTCCAAACTTCTCTCTCCTTTTTTTGCGTAAACAAAACGTTGTTAACAAGTCAGCAGACAAAGACCTGCGCTTTCAGGGATTTCAGTCTGATAAATCTCTGGTGTATAGTGTACAAGGCATAACAAAATACAGAGATTTTGAGGTTGGTTTTTTTGTTTGTTTCATTTCTACTCGGTTCTTGCATATTGGTGTTTCTTACCAGGTACCTCAGTTGCTCAGATTGTGAGAGATTACTGCCTTGATTGTCTGTGATTTCTGTGACTTCAGGCATTAAGGACCACATGTGTTTCTGTGATGCTGTATTTGTTTATTTATATCATCAGCCTGCTTAAGACTTTTTCTAATTATTTTTAAATGGAATAAATTAAAACCAAAAACACTGTTAGTATGAGCACAGAGCAGCAGAGAACAACACACGAGCAGATTCAGCCTGGGATTAAAATGTAGCTTTATCATCAGTACCTCTCTATCCCTGTTGTACCTATAGAGACCTAAAGCAAAAGTGCACTTGAGTCTTTACGTCAGTTACAGAGTGGTGCATAGAAGTCAATCAAGTTTTTGAAATCAGAAAATCATACAGTGGTTGTTAGCTGGAATATACGGCTGGACACCTCTGATAGCAAAGAGGGATTCTGTGCCTATGGGAACAAACAAAATATTGATCCCAGAATTTCTTCCACCTGCCACTCCTACATTTCTGTTTACGAAAGTTGTAAATGTTATCGAGGGTTGAACAGGTGAAAGTTCTCAAAGAGCTATGGGTTTGAAGTATTTAACTCACTTACAGGTGATTCCCTTAGTTTAGGAGAAAACAAGGACAAAAATAGTGTTGTATAAAAACATTCCCATTCTTAACCATATAAAGCTTCATAGAAGAATCATGTTTTGTCTTATGACTGTAACCTTGAAAAAAAATTTGCTTGTGCAGATACTGTAGGGCCATTTACAAGACAAGTATCCCTTTACATATAGTAAAGATTGTATAGCCTTTCAAGTGCCCTACGAAGCAATGAAAATTAAATTAGAACTTTCATCCTTTCACTACAGCATCCACCAAATCAAAGGTGACCTATAAAGATTATCTGGCGTATTTCGAAAGTACTTCAAAAATGAAATTAGCAGTCCTTTGCAGAATGCCACTGCATGAAGCCTTGGGTGTGGGAAGAGCCCCAGGTAGCATTGTGAGCTGGTGACACTTCCCTCTCTTTTTGTTACATGGGAAACAGAATCAATTGCATTCCAGTGCAATTTTAAACTCTGTTGTCTGCTAATGGAAAGAAGTTGGTATTGAAAGGAAATTCGAGCTAGCACTCTGTAAAAGTGCTACACTACAAAAGCTCTCCGTAGATCAGTTGCACTTGTCCTGTAAAACTGTTGACAGTGGCAGAATTTGTCCCTGAGGAGTCTGGTAAGGCATTGTGCATCTGTAAACGTGGGGAGCTGAAGCTGCTGTCAAATTGAGAGCACAGGACTGGTAGAATCCAGTTGCTAACTCCTCCAGCTGCCATGGCTGACCTTCATCAGCATTTTGCTTCATTTCTTCCACGAGTTCCCTGGGTTCTTTGAGTAGATTTCCTATAAGCTGTGGACTTAAATGCACAGATCCTGTTTTCCATAAACTTCAACAAATTCTGAACCAGGCCTCCAAAGATTTTGAGCAGGATTTGTGGCTGTGCCTCTGTGCCTTGGTCATTCTTTGGCAAAGCTGTGTCACAGGCTTGAGCTTACTGTCATTGTTCTTTGATCCTTGAGCAGTTTATATCCAGTAATTGCTTTAAAATTAGAATATGTTTAGAAGTATGTCATGCTGACTTTGTATAAAAAGGATTTATCCACCTGGGTCTCAAATTGCAGTACAAATTAATATAGTCCATATCTATATAGCTTATCTGGATTATTGCTGTAGTAAATTAATTTTTAGCGCAAAGCAAAATTATCCTTTTAAATATTGGCCTTAGGTCATTTCTCTTGTTTGATTAGCATTTGCATTTGTTACTAGGATGCATGGGAAGGAATTACCTGGTCTCTTTATATCAAAGCAAATTTTAATTATCTCACTGTATAAAAGGTCTTTTTTTGCCAGGAGTGTTTAATATTCTCTTGTAATTGCACGTCCCATGAACTGGCATGTGTTTATGACTTGATATTCACACTCAAATGAAAATGAATATTTATAAAAACATAGTCTCAGTGATCTGCATACTTCTAGGAGCATATCTTAAAGTAAGCATATTTCTTCTGTCTCTATTTAGTCGTTCGTGACACTTTGGAAGATCCTGTTTCCAGAGGCAGTGCCGCCTGCCCCTTGGGCTACTTTCCCTGTGGCAATATCACCAAGTGCTTGCCCCAACAACTTCACTGTAACGGTGAGGATGACTGTGGGAATCATGCTGATGAAGACAACTGTGGTATGTTGTTAAGGCTTTTCTTTGTTTCTGGCTGTCACTGAAACCCATGCACTGTTTGCACCAAGTGGAGAGTTACAGAGCAGAAGCCGTTTGAATGTTATGTGTTTTCGGAGGACGTAGCAGATATTGGCTTTCCCTGATAAAGCCTTTCAACAAGCCATTTGCTAGGAAGAAAGGGCTACATTTGCATATCATAGAAGTTTATCCAGTTTTATCGTTTTTGCTTTTCATTTTGATGTGTACCTGTGTGTGTGAACTAGGAAAGGCCCCTGCTGCACACAGATGGACCTACATGCTGACCTATGATGCTTGACGTAACTGTTAAAGCTGGTTGGGAAGCAGAATTTAAACTAATTTTCAAAGTTGGCCAGAAATCTTTCACGTCCTAAAACAGGAGAAAAAAAAACAGAGCCATGCTTGTATGAGTTCTGCAAGCTGCAAGGCTGCCAGATTTTGGAAATGTAGATATCTGAGGAAATGCACACAGGCTGCTGCTGCCTGTTGTTGCAGACCTTGTCACTCTGCCTCCATCTCCATGGAGTGAAGATGCCAGCCAGGCACGCTGCCATCAGAACAGAGCATGGAGGCAAAAAATGAAAACTATATATACACACTAATGTTTCTGAAAGGTATAATTTGAAACAAAATATGGTAAGCGTATTTTTCATTAACAATCTCAGCAAAATCATTGAGAGATTGAAACCATGTTTGCTTTCACTCCATATTTTCAGAGCTCAAAATTGTGCCTGCATGCAGTACCTTATTTCTCTGCCTATGAAATTCTACCATATGAAAATTACTTTTGGCTCTAATCCCATTTAACAGACCTGTGCCGCCTTCTAGATTGATGTCACTTCCACCATTTCATTGCCGATGATTTAAATCTTGAAGAAAATTGACTCTTGTTCTATTGTTCTTCTGTGTATAAGTTGCCTCTTAAACAGTTGATGCATGTTCCATTTCTGTAAAGTACAGAAAGTCTATTGTGCAAGGATTTGCTAAAAGTGTACAGATCGATCAAGTGGGGATTTGGACACACACAGTTTTGCAACAGGATATGCAGGACAACAGAGCCTGCAAAGCAATTCGGCTGCAGTATAGAATCCATTTCCAAGTACAACAATGAGCTAGAGACCATTTCTGAGCTATAAAGGATGATAAGTCTTTGTATCAGCTCTCTGAGAAATTAGTGTTTTCTTCTTGCATCATAACCCAATATTCTCAAAATGCATACCTTGTATAATGCACTGTGCTCATATTCAGCTCTAAAACTGATACAGCAGTCAAATTTTATTGTTTGACTAAAAGAAGAGTAATTATGTTGCCTGAGAACTTGAAATGTTCTCTTGGGGTTTCTGTAACATTCCTACATTGAAGTATGCGTGGAAATCATTGTTGAGTAGGATTTTGTCCAACCATTCATCTTGCTTAAAATCAAAGGAAGTGTCACCAATTAGTTCCCAAGACAGGGATGCTATCCAGCTATTTCTTTATGCTGCAGTTTCCCAGGGCTATTTCAGTGTGCCTGCCATTACACCAGGAGTTATAGCTAGTTCTTTATACCCTTTTTTTTAATGTACAGTTGAAATCATTGCTCCTGGTTACAGAAAAGCAATTCAAAATTAAATTACTTCACTGAAGTAATTGTTTTGTGCAGCACCATAGGACCTTTTATCCACAAGGTACCCCAATTAAGTAACTCAACTTTTAAATTCTTGCACACTTCTATCTTGCATAAATTTGAGTAAGACTTTTGAGGTGGTCAGTCTACCACATTCAAGCCAGCACATGTGGTGGGGATGGGAAAAAATAGTGTGGGCCCTAAAAGGAATTCAGACATATAAGATAAATGCTTCTCAGGTACAGCTAGCTAGAACAACTGCTCCACCAATTATGTCTTCAGTAATTACAAAGCCCTATCTTAAGCCTAGAGAAAAATATTATAGCAGAGGTTTGCATTTATTTTAAACCAGTCTGATAAAGAAAGGAGATGCAGAGCAAAAATAATTTCTCACAAAGAGTAGTCTTTTCTTTGGTGGGATGGATGATATCAATGAAGATTAAAAAAAAAAAAAAGAGCACTTCTTTTGAAGAGCATAATAATGCCATTGCAAAAATTGGGTGAAATTGCCTGGAAAAAAAGAGATACTCTGAACATAAGACAACCCAAGGTCCAGCTGTTCAACAGTAACTGCTAGATGTGCAGAGTATTAATAGAAACTGATTACCAAGTTAGCACTTTTAAGAAATATCAATGAATTAAACAAGCTGAGAAGTAATTAGGATAAAAGCGCTCTTAGATATTCAGAGAGAGTTGCTTTGTAAAAACCTTTAAGTGACCTTACAATAGAAAGGCATAGGTTTTTCTTCTATGGTTGTCAATTACAGTGAGATACAGAAGCCATCTGGGTATTCTGGTCTTGCAAATTACTTAAGTTGGAATCTTGAAATTCCACATGCAGTATGGTTAATCAGTAGCACAGCTTAAAATCTGTCTGCCTAATTTATTATGTGATGTATAAACCCATATTTAGATCTCACATGGCTTTATGGTAGGTTGGAAATAAAAGGTGAAAGAACATCTCCTCTCCATGCATTGGTGCAAGAGAGACCAACATAACAGGAGTCTGAAAATACTGGCATTAGTTGGTCAGAAGAAGGCTGGTGTCTGCTCTCTGTTATTAATGGTCCCCATTACCATATACTGCAAGTTTACCAGGCTACTGAGAACGTGTGTCCCAGCCCCTTGGCCTCTTGGATGTTCCTCTAGACCCAGACATCTTTGCTCTGTGCCCCCACTGTATGCATACCACAGACATTTTGTAGACGTAGATCAGAAACCATCAGAGATTTCACTGAATATTCCAGGTACCTCTTGGCAATTCTGCCCCTTTCCTCTCATCTTGAGCAGAGTTCTGTAGTTTCCCTCTTTATTCATACAATGATACTTATATCATTATGTTTGAGAAGATTTGCAATGTTTGTTCTCTTTCACACACTGCATGCCCTGTAGCAGTAAAATATGATTACAGATGTTTGAAATTAAAAGGATTCTTCACTCACTGGTAGCTGTCTTCAGTTGTTCAGTAATAGCACTTTCTGTTAAATCCATGCATGTAACAGTTAGCTTTGTGGAGCCTCCTTCACACATTTTTTCTTTCCTTTCCACTGAGATCTCTATCAGAATAATAAGTTAAAAACTAAGAGATGCAGCCTGAAATTAGAATAATAGACAGGGTCACATTTAGATCTGAGATGGCCATGGCCGTTCTTAACCTCAGGGTGAGGATGTTCTGTTTGGCAGTTAAGCTTCAGCATTTCTTCCTCTTCACAACCCTTCTGGAGAGGGGATATCCAAAATGAAGCTGCTCGTCTTTGAAAATCCATGTGCCTTTTTCACCCAGTTGAGTTCTCAATCAATAAAGTAGTGTGTGTGTTATCCTGATGGGGAAGAGCTTGAGGCAGCTATAAGAGAAGGAGAGAAGCAATTTATCAAGCCCTAAGTGATAACAGGTTCTTTTCAAACTAACATTAGATAACCTTAAATGTGCATGGAAAATACAATCTTTCCTTATGAATGTGAAAACATAGTCCATCAAGTAGCAGGTGGCTCTGTACATTTTCCGTAAATACAATATATTTAAACAAAAATGAGTTATGTAAAGTTTTATCATTTGTCATAAACGCTTGTGGCTTTGAGGAATTTTCCTTTTTAAGGTTAAGTGTGGCAGTAAATTTTTCCCTGCTCTTCTGCCCTGTACTCATTCTTTCTGAAATACTGAGTTCTTCCCAAAGCAACCAAGTATGATGTTTAGCCGTTTAGCCTAAATCGTGACCTGGTAATCTCGGCTGGGGAGCACACGAACCCCCCTGTGATTCTGGAAGAAACAGTCAGAGACCTACTGCTCCAGCTGGACTGTCACAAGTCGATGGGGCCAGATGAGATCCACCCGAGAGTGCTGAGGGAACTGGCGGAGGTGATAGCCGAGCCGCTTTCCATCATCTGTCAGCGCTCCTTGTTGACTGGTGAGGTCCCAGAAGACTGGAGGCTTGCCAATGTGACTCCCATTTATAAGAAAGGTCGTAAGGAGGATCCGGGGAACTACAGACCTTGGTGCCAGGGAAAGTGATGGAGCAGATTGTCTTGAGGGATGTGCGGGGTGACTGGGGGATCAGGCCTAGCCAGCATGGGTTCGTGAAGGGCAGGTCCTGCTTGACCAACCTGATCTCCTTCTATGATCTAGTGACCCATCTGGTGGATGAAGGAAAGGCCGTTGATGTGGTCTACCTAGACTTCAGCAAAGCCTTTGACACTGTCTCCCACAGCATTCTCCTGCAGAAGCTGGCAGCCAGAGGCTTGGATGGGTACACTCTTGGCTGGGTAAGGAGCTGGCTGGAGGGCCAGGCACAGAGAGTGGTGGTGAATGGAGTCAAATCCAGCTGGCGACCGGTCGTGAGTGGTGTTCCCCAGGGGTCAGTGCTGGGGCCTGTCCTCTTCAATATCTTGATTGATGACCTGGATGAGGGCATCGAGTGCACCCTCAGTAAATTCGCAGATGACACCAAATTGGCTGGAAGTGTGGATCTGCCTGGGGGTAGCGAGGCCCTACAGAGGGATCTGGACAGGCTGGAGAGCTGGGCTGGAGCCAATGGGATGAGTTTCAACAAGGCCAAATGCCGGGTCCTGCACTTCGGCCACAACAACCCCAGGCGACGCTACAGGCTTGGAGCGGTGTGGCTGGAGGACTGCGTAGAGGAAATGGACCTGGGGGTATTGATTGATGCTCGGCTGAACATGAGCCGACAGTGTGCCCAGGTGGCCAAGAAGGCCAATGGCATCCTGGCTTGCATCAGAAACAGTGTTGCAAGCAGGAGCAGAGAGGTGATTGTTCCCCTATATTCAGCACTCGTGAGGCCGCACCTCGAGTACTGTGTCCACTTTTGGGCCCCTCACTGCAGGATAGACATTGAGGCCCTGGAACGTGTTCAAAGGAGGGCAA